GAGCCACTGCGTCTGGCCCACATGTAATTTCATGTTTACCATTTTGAGGGACTACTAGACTGTTTCCAAAGTGACTGCACTATTTCACATTCCCATCGGCAATATTGGAAGGGTCTACTTTTTCCTCACCTCACTAACAGATGTTATTATCGCTCTCTTTTAAGTTATAGCTGTCCCAGTGGGCAGGAACTGGTATCTCATTGTAGTTTCACTTTGCATTTCCATAATGACTGAGGAGGTTGAGTCCCTTTTCATAAGCTTATGGGCATTCATGTATTTTCTTTGGTGAAATACCCATTCAAATCCTTTGCCTGTTAAACATTTTTTGAGTTTATTTTATGAATTTTTTTTTTTTTTGGATATAGGGTCTGTAGCCCAGGCTGAAGTGCGGTGGCACAATCTCAGCTCACTGCAACCTCTGCCTTCCAGCTTCGTGATTCTCGTGCCTCAGCCTCCCGAGCAGCTGAGATTACAGGCATGTACCACGACACCTGGTTAATTTTTGTATTTTTTGTGGAGACAGGGTTTCACCATGTTGCCCAGGCTGGTCTCAAACTTCTGATCTCAGGTGATCTGCCCACCTCAGCCTCCCAAAGTAGCTGTGAGCCACCTGGCCTAAAAATTTTTTAAACATACTTTTTATCGTGGTAAAAAACACATAACATTGAATTTACCATCTTACCCATTTTTATGTAGTGTCCAGTATATTTACAGTTACACCACACATCTCCAAAACATTTTCATTTTGTAAAACTGAAACTCTACACTCACTAAACACCAATTCCGTATTCCCTCTCTGCCCAGCTCCTGGCAACCACATTTCCACTTTGTTTCTATGATTTTGGCAACACTGGATACTTCGCATAAGGAGAATGATACACTACTTGTCCTCTTATTTCACTTAGCATTACATCCTCCTCAAGGTTCACCATATTGCAGCACATGACAGGACTTCCTTCTTTTTTTGCGAGGCGGGGGTGGGGCGGGGATGGAGTCACCAGGTTGGAGTGCAGTGGCATGATCTCGGCTCACTGCAACCTCCGCCTCCGGGGTTCAAGTGATTCTCCTGTCTCAGCCTGCCAAGTAGCTGGGACTACAGGCACACGCTACCAGGCCCAGCTAATTTTTGTATTTTTAATAGAGACAGGGTTTCACCACATTGGCCAGGATGGTCTCGATCTTTTGACCTCGTGATCTGCCCGCCTTGGCTTCCCAAAGTGCTGGGATTACAGGCGTGAGCCACTGCGCCCGATCTAAGACTTCTTTCTTTTTTAAGGATGTGTAATATTCTATGTACAGACCACACTTTTTTTTTTTTTTTTTGAGACAGGGTTTCTCTGTCACCCAGGCTGGAGTACCGTGGCATGATCTTAGCTTGCTGCAACCTCCGCCTCCCGGGTTCAAGCGATTCTCCTGCCTCAGCCTCTCGAGCAGCTGGGAATACAGGCATGTGCCACCAGACCCGGCTAATTTTTTAATTTTTAGTAGAGATGGGGTTTTACCATGTTGGCCAGGCTGGTCTCAAACTCCTGAGCTCGGGTGATCAGCCCACCTCGGCCTCCCAAAGTGCTGGGATTACAGGTGTGAGCCACCGCATCCAGCCCACAATTTCTTTATCATCTATTGATAGATATGTTGGTTGCTTCCACCTCTTGGCTACTGCAAATAAAGCTATAATAAACATGGGTATGCAAATCTTTTTGAGATCTGCTTTGAATTCATTTAGATATATACCCAGAAGTGGGACTGCTGAATCACACTGAATTCCATTTTCAATTTATTTTTATTATTTTATTTATTTTCTTTGAGACGGAGTCTCGCTCTGTCGCCCAGGCTGGAGTGCAATAGCACGATCTTGGCTCAATGCAAGCTCCGCCTCCTGGGTTCACACCATTCTCCTACCTCAGCCTCCCGAGTAGCTGGGACTACATGCACCTGCCACCACGCCCGACTAATTTTTTTTTTTTGTATTTTTAGTAGAGACGGGGTTTTACCATGTTAGCCAGGATGGTCTCAACTCAATCTCCTGACCTTGTGATCCGCCCACCTCGGCCTCCCAAGGTGCTGGGATTACAGGCGTGAGCCACCACGCCTGGTTCCATTTTCAATTTATTTATGTATTTATTTTTGTGAGACAGGGTCTCACTGGGAGTGCAGTGGCATGATCATGGCTCACGGCAGTCTCCACCTCCCCAGGCTCAAGCAATCCTCCAACCTCAGCCTCCTGAATAGCTGAGAATACAGGCATGTGCCACCACCACGCCCGGCAAGTTTTTTTTCTTTTTTCTTTTTTTTTTTTTGTAGAGACAGGGTTTTGCCATGTTGCCCAGGCTGGTCACCAACTCCCAGAATCAAGAGATCCTCCTGCCTTGGCCTCTCAAAGTGCTAGGATTACAGGTGTGAGCCACCACACCCAGCCACTGTCTTTTCAAGTTCTTTACCCATTTTTAATTGGGTTATCTGTATTCTTATTGAGTTGTAAGAATTCTTTATATATTCTGAATTTGCTTATCAGATATATGATTTGCAAATACTTTATTCCAGTATATGACTTGTCTTTTTTTTTTTTTTTTTTTTTTTTTTGAGATGGAGTCTTGGTCTGTCGCCCAGGCTGGAGTACAGTGGCACGATCTTGGCTCACTGCAAGCTCTGCCTCCCGGGTTCACATCATTTTCCCGCCTCAGCCTCCCAAGTAACTGGGATTACAGGCACCCACCACCACGTCCAGCTTATTTTTTTTTTTTTTTTTTGAGACGGAGTCTTGCTCTGTATCCCGGGCTGGACTGCAGTGGCCGGATCTCAGCTCACTGCAAGCTCCGCCTCCCGGGTTTACGCCATTCTCCTGCCTCAGCCTCCCGAGTAGCTGGGACTACAGGTGCCCGCCACCTCGCCCGACTAGTTTTTTGTATTTTTAGTAGAGACGGGGTTTCACCGTGTTAGCCAGGATGGTCTCGATCTCCTGACCTCGTGATCCGCCCGTCTCGGCCTCCCAAAGTGCTGGGATTACAGGCTTGAGCCACCGCGCCCGGCCCGTCCAGCTTATTTTTTAGTAGAGATGGGGTTTCACTGTGTTAGCCAGGATGGTCTTGATCTCCCGACCTTGTGATCCGCCTGCCTTGGCCTCCCAAAGAGCTGGGATTACAGGTGTGAGCCACCATGTCCGGCCTGTTTTTTTAATTAAAAAAAATTTTTTTTGTATCACTGAGAGTAAGGCATTTTTTGTTTTGTTCTGTTTTGAGACAGTCTTGCTCTCACCCGGGCTATAGTGCAATGGGGTGATCTCGGCTCACTACAACCTGTGTCTCCCAGGTTCAAGTGATTCTCCTGCCTCAGCCTCCTGAGTAGCTGGAACTACAGGTGCACACCACCATACCCGGCTAATTTTTGTATTTTTAGTAGAGACAGGGTTTCACCAAGTTGGTCAGGCGGGTCTCAACCTCCTGACCTCAAGTGATCTTTCCACCTTGGCCTCCCAAACTGCTGGGATTACAGGTGTAAGCCACCATCCCTGCCCTAATTTTTTATTTTTTTGAGATAGAGTCTTATTCTCTCCCGGCTGGAAAGTACTAGCACAATCATGGCTCACTGCAGCCTTGACCTTTCAGGCTCAGGTGATCCTCCCACCTCAGCCTCCTGAGGAGCTGGGACTACAAGTGTGTGCCATCATGCCTGGTTACTTTTTGTATTTTTTTGTAGTCAGGGTTTCGTCATGTTGCCCAGGCTGGTCTCAAAGTCTCAAACATCTGGACTGAAGCAATCCTCCTCCCTCAGCCTCCCCAAAGTGCTGGAATTACAGGCACGAGCCATCATGCCCAGGCTTTTTAGTTTTATTTTTTTGAAAAAGAGTCTCACTCTGTCACCTAGGCTGGAGCACAGTAGTGTGATCTCAGCTCACTGCAACCCTCCCTCCTGGGTTCAAGCAATTCTCCTGCCTCAGCCTCCCAAGTAGCTGGGATTACAGGAGTGCACCGCCATGCTCGGCTAATCTTTGTATTTTTAGTAGAGATGGGGTTTCGCAATGTTGGCGAGGCTGGTCTCGAACTCCTAACTTCAGGTGATCTGCCCACCTCAGCCTCCCAATGTGCTGAGATTACGGGTGTGAGCCAACACGCCCGAACTATTTTTTTTTTTTTTTGAGACAGGGTCTCACTCTATTGTCCAGGTTGGAGTGCAGTGGTATAATCTTGGCTCACTGCAAACTCCATCTTCTGGGCTTAAGCAATTCTCCCAGTCAGCCTCCCAAATAGCTGGGACCTCAGGCATGTGGCATCACACCTGGCTAGTTTAATTAATTTATTTATTTTGGTAGAGGCAGTGGGGTCTTGCTATGTTGCCCAGGATTGTCTTGAACTCCTGGACTCAAGTGATTATCCTGCCTTGGCTTCCCAAAGTGCTGGGATTACAGGCATGAGCCACACTGCACCTGGCTAGTCTTTTGCATTTCTAAAGCCTGCTGGGACTTTGATAGGGATTCTGTTGAATCTACAGATCAACTTGTGGAAAAACTGCTATTTTTCTACTCAAACTAGCAAGGGAAAAAAAAGAAACTATTACTGATGTGGTGTGTATATGTGACAGAAGTAATGTTTCAGAAAAGATGATATCCAGGAAGTATGTAAACTAACTTTATGCAATACTGGTTTTGCTTTTAAAAAAAGGTGTAACCTTTCAGAAATATATACAGTACTGAAATATTTATGAATGAAACAGAATGCTGTCTGGGATTTAATTCCAAACAATCTGGGTTGAAGGAGTTAGGCCTAAACGAGATTGGCCATGTGTTAACTACTGAAGCTAAGCAATGGATGTGGAAGGGGAGCCCCATTATTCTCTCTTGTTTTGTATGTTTGAAAAATCTCATAATAAAAACATCCAATAAAACATTAGTGTAGTGTCAAGTCATGGTATCATCCTCAAATTTTTTTCCCTAGAATTAACACTATGGCCTAAACTAATCTATTCACAAGACTTAAAAAGTCACTATTCAGTAACATACTCACCAGTAATTGCCCCATTCAATCATGGTTCCTGGCTGAAAACAGATTTAGATTTGGTTTGTTAGTTCTTCTGTGAAAAAAAAATACAGAAATAGCAAACAGCAGTAGAAAAAACATTAAGTGACAAAACTAACTTCAAAACCCCCCCCCTTTTTTTTTTTTGAGACAGAATGTTGCTCGTCGCCCAGGCTAGAGTGCCGTGGCTCAATCTCAGCTCCTGCAACCTCCGCCTCCTGGGTTCAAGTAATTCTCCTGCCTCAGCCTCCCGAGTAGCTGAGATTACAGGCACCCCGCCACCAGGCCCGGCTAATTTTTTGTATTTTTAGTAGAGACGGGTTTCACCGTGTTAGCCAAGATAGTCTCGATCTCCTGACCTCGTGATCCACCCGCCTCGGCCTCCCAAAGTGCTGGGATTACAGGTGTGAGCCACCGCACCCGGCCAGTCCTTCTTCTTAAAAACAGAAATGTTATTTAGAAAAATCTCAAATAATAAGCATTATGTGTAAGGCCATAAAAAGCAAAGAGCTTAGCCTTGGTGACAGTGTGAGACCCAGTCTTAAAAAAAATATATATATATATAGAATGCTAAACACACATCACAGAATGTACACACAAGTTCTGTTGTCAGCCTTACAAAGTGCTTCTGCTTCTTCACAGAGGAGCAAAAGCAAAAACTTCTATTTGTGTACTTACTCGGAGTTGGTAAGACCTGAGTTCATATATATTAGGGCCTGATCGTGGGACAGGCTCATTCCAGAAACTGAACTCCAACAGGAGCTGATTCTTCCTGGAGAGAAGCATGTCACTTCTTGCCTTACGAAATTCCAAAAATTCCTTTGAGTGAAAAAAATATGCTCATGAAATCTTCTGATACTTACATAAGTCCATTTCAGTAACATTTATGTTCCTACAGAATACTGTAATAGGGTAACCAACAGGTCCCAGATGGCCTGAGACAGTCCCAGTTTATATCTGTTGAGCTTGCATAATCATTAACAGCATTCCTTTTCATTCTCAGAAGTGTCCAGGTTTAGATGACAAATTACTTGGTCATCCTAATTATTTAGGTGGCAATGCAAACAAATTTAACTTGCTATATTTTTAGATTCTTCTAATAGTGTTTGATGGCACATCAATAGAAGTGGCATGCAGACTACAAAAGAGCAGATAATTCAAAAGCTATTTATATTTGTCTGGGAATCTATACAAAAGATTTTCTTTCTTAATGATGTGTGGCTTTTAAATTTCTCCCTACTGACAAGCACCTGCTGAAGGGTGGGTGGAAAGCAAAGTCAGCCCAAGATAAACTCTATGTGTGTGACAGACAGTTTCTGAAGTAGACAGTTTTAGGTCATTGAGGGCTAATTGTGTCTGCCATGCTGATTGATACACCAGTCACCAGTTTTTTTGTTCTTTTGGTTTTTTTTTTGAGGCAGATTCTCACTCTGTTGCCTAGGCTGTAGTGCAGTGGTGTGATCTCGGCTCACTGCAACCTCTGCCTCCTGGGTTCAAGCAATTCTCGTGCCTCAGCCTCCCGAGTGGCTGGGATTACAGGCGTGCACCACCATGCTCGGCTAATTTTTGTATTTTTAGTAGAGATAAGGTTTTGCCATGTTGTCCAGGCTGGTCTCGAATTTCTGGCCTCAACTGATATGCCTGCCTTGGCCTCCCAAAGGGCTGGGATTATAGGCGTGAGCTACCACACCCAGCCCAGTCACCAGTTTCAAAGCACCACCTTATCAGTTTCAAAGTATAATTGACTTTTATAATAAGAACAATAAGATTTTTTTTTTTTTTTTTTGAGACGGAGTCTCACTCTGTTGCCCAGGCTGGAGTGCAGTGGCACAATCTTGGCTGACTGCAAGCTCCACCTCCCGGGTTCACACCATTCTCCTGCCTCAGCCTCCTGAGTAGCTGGGACCACAGGCACCCACCATCACGCCTGGCCAATTTTTTTGTATTTTTTTAGTAGAGACGGAGTTTCACTGTGTTAGCCAGGATGGTCTCCATCTCCTGACCTGGTGATCTGCCTGCCTTGGCCTCCCAAAGCGCTGGGATTACAGACGTGCGTCAGTGCGCCCAGCCAGAATTGTTATTTTAATAGTATTACAACTGTTTATGTTTAAATACAACTTCAGGAGTCCAAACAATACAATTTCTGTTACAAAAAAAGAAGTTTATTAACAAAAACTGAAGACAGAAAAGTCATTTAATTCCATACTAACATCTATATATCATTAGTCTGTAAACATTTTTCAAAATCATTACCTTATTTTCTCTGAGTTTATTCATGACTTCTGTGAGGGCTGGATAGCCTCCTTCATACCTCCAGAGGTGGACTGAAATGCATTTTAAAAGATAGTATACATTTAGAATTTCATGATACTACTTGAAAATGTTCTAGATAGGTATAATGTTAACACAGCACAGAACTGTAGGCTGGGTGCAGTGGCTCACACCTGTAATCCCAGCACTTTGGGAGGCTGAGGCAGGCAGATCACTTGAGGTCGGAAGTTCCAGACCAGCCTGGCCAACAAGGTGAAACCCTGTCTCTACTAAATATACAAAAATTAGCTGGGTGTGGTAGTGGGCACCTGTAATTCCAGCTACTTGGGAGGCTAAGGCAGGAGAATCGCTTAAACCCGGGAGGCAGAGGTTGCAGTGAGCCTAGATACATATCACTGCACTCCAGCCTGGGCAACAGAGCAAGACTCCATCTCAAAAAACAAAAAAAACAAAAAAACTATAATACCCCATGTTTTGGCCTATGAGTTACATCATAATGATTCAATAATAGATTCAAACATTAAAAACAATTTTAAAACTGTTTTTGCAATGAATTGTTGAAGAAACTACTTTAATCATAAAATTAGACTGAGACTTGGAAAGCTTTGATGATAAGAACAAGCATTAAATTAGAAAATTACTTAAGTGTTACATAAGGCTTAAGGAAGAAGTGTTTATTCCAAAGACTTCGCTTCCTACCAGCTTGGTCCTGCTCGCCATACCACGTGTTCCAAGTCCCCACCAAAGTACAAGGGTAGTGTTTATCTTCGTGAATCTTTGGCAACACCTCTTGACTTAAAGAGAAGAAACAGCAACACTAATTAAACAACCAGCAAAATTTGACCAGGTGGATAGCACCTAATCAGTAACAGGAAAAAGACCACCTACTCTTTGTTCTAACAACTGACCTTAGCACATCCTCATGATAAAACGGCATGTGGAATTAACCTTTTGGCTGAATTCTGTTGTACTCCAACACCCTGCTGATCAGAAGCTTAGGTTTCTGATACCCCAACTATCTAGAAGAGTTGCTGAACCAGTATAAAGATGATAAAGAAAAACCAAACGTCCCAGGATTTTGGGAGTTATGTGGCTACTATTTTCTATTTGAGGGGAAAAAAAAAAACAACATCACCAAAAAATATTCTGTTGGTTCCAAAGACAGGAAGAATGAGAGGGGAATAGTAGAAAAGAACACGGAAGAAATAAGATGGAAAGGGAAGGAAGTAATGTTCAAGACAGAGGCAGACACCACAAGCGGCATCAGCAGGCAGAGGTAAACAAGAGCAGAAAACAGGCTGGCCTTCAGGAAGGAGCAAGAAGACAGAGCTGGAACACAACAGTCTGTAAGCGACCCTAACCTCCAACAGTCCCTAAGGGCATCAACATGGCAGTAGAATAAAAATTAAAGATACAACGCGAAGCATAAATTACGTTCTACTCAATTCAGTAGGCCAAGGGGATGGGTGGGGTGTCACGTAGTCTCACACCAAACACATGAACTCATTTCCACTCATTGTGCAGGGACAGGGGCAAAGCCATGACAGGTCACGGCAGTGTATGAATTTAACAGGGGTGTCAGAGTGGAGCTTGGTTCCATAGAAGCTTTCTTATGGTATAGACTCTAATGTACAGGGAAAGGCAAAGGGAAGAGTGTAACTGTTTTATACCAAGAGAAAAGCTAAAACCTGCACACTTTTTGAATAGAAAAATTATGATGAAAAAGTATCACACAAATTCAACAACGGATGCAAAAGGGGATCAAGGGCAAGAAATGGAACCTGTTCACATTATATGCTGACACTGATATTTAGCTAGTGATCACCACCAGACGCTGGGGCTACAGGACCAAGAGTATATAAGTACCACATGCTAACCGATTGCGCCACTGGACCTCCGTAGGACCAGGGATATATAAATGGTTAACAGAGAAAAGTTCCAAATGGTCTATGTCTAACTAACTGAAAACCCATACATCTTTATGACCCAGTATAGTGACCACATCATGTGTATTTTTGGAAGAGTAGCATTTTACTTTTTAAATTAGGATATGATATTAAATGTATCTGATGCGTGACTCATGAATGTTCAGAAATAACATGGGATCGGCCGGGCACAGTGGCTCATGCCTGTAATCCCAGCACTTTGGGAGGCTGAGGTGGGCGGATCACGAGGTCAAGAGATCGAGACCATCCTGGCTAAAACAGTGAAACCCCGTCTCTATTAAAAATACAAAAAGAAATTAGCTGGGCGTGGTGGCGGGCGCCTGTAGTCCCAGCTACTCAGGAGGCTGAGGCAGGAGAATGGTGTGAACCTGGGAGGCAGAGCTTGCAATGAGCTGAGATCGTGCCACTGCACTCCAGCCTGGGTGACAGAGCGAGACTCCGTCTCAAAGAAAAAAAAAAAAAGAAATAACATGGGATCCATGAAAATCGAAGACAGGGAAAGAGGGATTCTGCTAGGGCAATGTATGTCCAACATTTCCCTTTGGTCGCATGACATGAGCAGGAAGAGACAACCCTGCATTGGAGGCAGTGCCCAGGAAGGAAGCCCAGTACACATGACTCAGGTGGGGTCCAGAGAGGGATCTGGCAACGGGGGCCTAGGTTTTTCACCAACACAAAGTTACACATGGATTTGAAGCCACTCCTCTTTGCTGGGGACCCCAAACCTGCTCTTGGGAGTCCTGGCCTTACCTGAATGGAGATTGTAAGGCAGGCAGTACTTGTACCCAGAACTGGATGGGTTGGGCAGAATCCCATTATTGGGACCCCTAAAAACCAGGCAGAAGTTAAGTCTTTATGTTCTGGAAACAGGGAGCTGCTGAAAGTTTCAGAGAAAAGAAAAAATGTGATGAAAAAAGAAAGTAGAACTCAAGCAGATCAATCTGACAAACTTTGGGGTAATGTATTGCAGGGCACGGAAGAGATACAGGTATAGCTTGGAGCCCAGAAAGGTAGTCAGAAAAAAGGCACTTGGGAATGGGGCTCGAGAGGCTTAGAGAGGGAGATGGAGAAGGAAACAAGAGGACCAAAATACATGTCCGATGAAGAATGCACGGCTCTAGGTGACAGACTCAACACAGAGAACTAAGGAACGGGCTGAGTAAAACAAGGTGAGTGGCACAGACAGGGAAGTTGGAAGAGCAAGGTGATTCCACATGCTGAGTGTGAAGTGAGAGCATGACATCAAATAGAAATATGAACAGACAGCCAGAAATCCAAGACAGGAGATGAAGTGATAAAACAGGACAGAAAAGGTAAAATACAGGAAAACATCAGCATAGGGAAAAATTCCATTTTATGAGAAAAGGCTTAGAAATAAATATCTGCTTTAAGGGCATTTTTTAATAAAGAGGTGCTGGAATGAGTAAGAAATTCAATAGTATTATTACATTTCATAAGCTATCTTCAAAAACAAAACAATAAACAACAAAAGGTTTTTCTTCTAAAAAGTATGCTGATTATAGGGACAAAATTGTTTGCTTTCTTATGAAAGTAGTAGATATTAAAGGTTAAAAAAAAAAAACCTTTTTCTTCACATTTGCTCACAATGGATTATTAAAATACTATTTCTGTTAACTTAAAAGCCAGTAAGCTTAGTTCTCCCTTTCGTCTTAAGTTTACAAATTCTGTAAGCAGGTTTAGATCTCAAATCATAGGAGAATCAGCGGAAGGGACTTGGATCCTGGAGAACAGAGGAGTTGGGAAGAAATGGCAGCTATGTTCAAATACACACAGTACTCTCACAGGGCAGTTTTACTAAGGGGAAACAATGAAGGACTCAGAGATGTGAATTCTTATTCCTAACACTCAGAGCTGTCCAGAGATGGAACTTACTTCAGGACAGGCAGTGAGGAAGGTCTGTGGAAAGGACTCCAGCACTGGGTAAGTAGATGGACTAGACAGCCTGGCAAAGTTCCTCCAAACATAAGAGTCTGGTAACATTCTAAAGTCTGATAGCTTATGTGATGATTTAGCTGTGTGAGTGCTTAAAATCAAAATGCCTTTGGCAATCCCACACGGAGCTCAGTTTAAGAGCCTCTGAATGTTCAACTTCAAAAGAGAGGGATGAAAAGCTCTCTCTCTACGCTATCAAGTGTTAGTGGAATTAACTCACAAATAAAGTCACTATTTTCCCCAAGGAAAGGAGAGTTTGGTATACACACCAAATTTTGTTGTATGCTTCTAGGCATTCCGGTTTAACATTGTGAACTGAAACAAAAGAAAATTCAACGATAAACTTAGGAACAAATGGAAAAAAAAGTCAACTATGAAGATAGCAAACCTGTCACTCACACTGTAATTTGTATAGATTGCTTGTTTCCTTTTTGGCTAGGAGATTGGAGTGGGCATCTTTTCTTGGATCAACTTTCCGGACAAATAAGGATTTTAGCCAGCTGTCTTCTCGAGATCTGTTGCTGGAAGATGTCCACGTCCTATGGAATAACAAAAGTGTTGTCACACAGTACGCTGTTTTCATATATCCATCAGTTCACCTGGCAAACACACGGTGAGCAGCTATTCTAGGCACTGTTCCAGAACCTAGGCTACCACAGAATGTCTGCTTTCCATGACAACAGCATGCACTCCGAGAAGCAGAAGCAAAGAAAAATGTAAAATTTGTGGCATTCCTGTAAGAGAGTCCACATTTATCTTTGCAATCTGTGCTATGTGTTTTTCAAAGCAATTTTTGACATAGAAAAAATATACATGGATACCTAAAGTAGATAAAACCACAGAGACAGAAAGCAGAATGGAGGTTGCCAGGAGGTGAGGAAAGGGGAGGTTGGGGTAAGGAGTTTCAGTTTGGGAAGATGAAGAAATTCTCAAGATGAATGGTAGTGATGTTTCCCCAAAATGTGAATATACTTAATGCCACTGAACTGTATGCTTAAAAATGGTTAAAATCATTAGTTTTATGTTACGCACATTTTGCCATAATTTAAAAAATATTGCTTGATTTGGAAACAGATAGTGGTGATGACTGTACAACACTGTGAATATAATGCCACTGAATTATGCACTTAAGATAGTTTAAATGGCAAATTTTATGTATATTTTTACATGTTTTACCACAATAAAAATATAAAAAAATACAGGGAAAATGAAATAATTTCTTTTTTTTTTTTTTTTGAGAGGGAGTCTCGCTCTGTCGCCCAGGCTGGAGTGCAGTGGCCGGATCTCAGCTCACTGCAAGCTCCGCCTCCCGGGTTTACGCCATTCTCCTGCCTCAGCCTCCCGAGTAGCTGGGACTACAGGCGCCCGCCACCTCGCCCGGCTAGTTTTTTGTATTTTTTAGTAGAGACGGGGTTTCACTGTGTTAGCCAGGATGGTCTCGATCTCCTGACCTCGTGATCCGCCCGTCTCGGCCTCCCAAAGTGCTGGGATTACAGGCTTGAGCCACCGCGCCCGGCCGAAATAATTTCTTTAAAAAAATTTTACTCAAGTAAATTAAAAATCAAGATTTGTAAAAATTAACTTTAAAAATCAAGATTTTTTTAGCTGCCCCCACAAACCTCAGAATACCAACTTTATTAACACATAATTTGCTAATTTTCATCTTATAATTAAATTTCTATTGTGAATGCTTTCAGAAAGTGAGGATAAATCTGACTCAAGTCACAAAGTATACTTTACTCATGAAGTTTTTTCTTTCTTTTTTTGAGACTGAGTCTTGCCCTGTCACCCAGGCTGGAGTGTGGTGGTACGAGAGCTCACGGCAGCCTCAAATTCCTGGGCTCAAGTGATTGTCCCACCTCAGCCCCCTAAGAAGCTGGGACTAGAGGCACACATCATCTTGCACGGTTAATTTTTAAAAATTTTTTGTAGAGATGGAGTCTTGCTATGTTGCCCAAGTTGGTCTGAAACTCCTGGCCTCAAGCAATGCTCCCACTTCAACCTTTCAAAGTGCTGGGATTATAGGTGTAAGCCACTGCAACTGGCCCTACTCACAAATTTCTATGTGCATGTTCAACTCCCATATGCCAGCTAATAGGAATACAAATTTGTTGACCTCCCTAGAGGGCAGTATGGCATCATCCATATCAAAATGGAAACCGTGTATGACTTCAGCCCAATAATGACACTTGCGGTTATGTCCTATGGCCAGCTATATTTAGACAGGTGCACAAAGTTGAATGCACACAAATATTCATTGCTGTCTTGTTTCCAGTTTTCTCCTGGCACAGGCCATTCGAACAGCCATTAATGCAGATTGCTCACATAAATTAGGAAATACTCCACGTCAAAAAATATGCACTCAATAAAAAGAATGAGGTAGATTTACATGCACTGATGTGCTGACATCTCCGAGATAAATTCTGTAAAAAAGCTAGCATAGAACAGCACTATATATACGTATACAGAGGAAAATGTTAAAGAGTGATGACATCTAGGGAACATGACTGGGCCTGGGTGGGAGTAAAGGTTTTTTCTTTTCATTGTATAACCTTCCGAACTATCTGAACAATTTCTACACACACACACTTTTTTGAGAGAGTCTCACTCTGTCGCGCAGGCTGGAGTGCAGTGGCACCACTTCGGCTGACTGCGAACTCCACCTCCCAGGTTCAAGTGACTCTCCTGCCTCAGCCTCCTGAGTAGCTGGGACTACACGGTGTGCCACTATGCATGGTTAATTTTTGTATTTTTAGTAGAGACAGGGTTTCGCCATGTTGGCCAGGCTGGTCTTGAACCCCTGACCTCAAGTGATCTGCCCACCTTGGCCTCCCCAAGTGCTGGGATTACAGGTGTGAGCCACTGCGCCTGGCCTATTTTTATATTTGAAAAATAGCCAAAATATCTAAAAGGGCATGTTTTAGTATCCCTCTACAGGTAAGGTAATTCCCTATAACCACTGAAAATAAGATTTTAAAGAACAGAACCTGGATGAGACTCATCCTCTTCTGAACTTTTTTTTTTTTTTTTGAGACGGAGCCTCACTGTGTTGCCCAGGCTGGAGTGCAGTGGTGCAATCCCGGCTCACTGCAACCTCCGCCTCCTGGGTTCAAGCAATTCTCCTGCCTCAGCCTCTCTAGTAGCTGAGACAACAGGTGCACACCACAACACCCAGCTAATTTTTTGTATTTTTAGTAGAGATGAGGTTTCACCATGTTGGCCAGGCTGGTTTTGAATTCCTGACCTCAAGTGATTTGCCTGCCTTGGTCTCCCAAAGTGGTGGGATTACAGGTGTGAGTCATTGCGCTCAGCCCTCTTCTGAACTTTATGTAACCATTATCAAATGACAAACTGCGTTTCCTTCATCTTCTTGGTTTTTGTTCCCATCTATGTACAATAAAACGTACTTTTTTGGCAGACAGTACTATGAGTTTTGACAAATGCCTAAAGTCATGTAACCACAACAGTAGTTTCTTCACCCCTTGAAGTTCCTCCTTTTATAACCAACCCCTCTCCCCACCTCTATCAACTACTGCTGTGTTCCTTGTCCCTCAGTTTTGCCTTTTCTAGAACATCGTATGTATGGAATCATACAGAAGGTAGCCTTCTGAATTCCTGCCCCTTCTTTCTGCACAATCCCTTTTATAACTGGTTATCTTACCTCTGGCCAGTTCTAACACAGCATACCCTTTACACTTTTGTTCTCTTTTTATTTTTGAGACAGGGTCTCACTCTGTTGCCCAGGCTGGAGTATACTGGTGTGATCACGGCTCACTGCAGCCTTGACCCCCAGAACTCTAATGATTCCCCCACCTCAGCCTCCAGATTAGCTGGGACCACATATGCACAACACCATAACTGGTTAATTTTTGTATTTTCTGCACAGAATGGGTTTTGCCATGTTGCCCAGGCTGGCCTTGAACTCCTGGCCTCAAGTGATCCTCCCGCCTTGGCCTCATGAAGTGCTGAGATTTCAAGCGTGAGCCACCGTGCCCAGCTACTTTTGCTTTCTAACTGACCTACACATAGATCTTTTTTGCCTTTTCCAAGATCAGTAATGTGCTGGGATTCCAAAAGGCTAGCATAAATGCCCAGAATCTTAGTGCTTCTGGACATAAAGGTCCAGATGCTGATGGACTAGTGTGAACCTCTTCTTGGGGATCTCTTTAGAAACACTAGATGATTTCCTACAACAGTATTTCTAATCTGCTTGGCAGACTTGCTTAAGGACACAGATACCACCAGGTAAACATTAAGAGGAAAACAGAGAGCAACTCCAAGTATTAAAAGGGGGGACCAGAAATTTAAACAAGGGACAAGAGAAGCTCTCATCAGAGCAAATTCCCCAGTACTTCATGAAATGAACATATATGGATTTCATAATACAATAATACAAACTCCTATTCTTATGCAGCAACAGTATTTTAGAAGTAGGGCTCTAAATTTCACATGATACTGGTAGCCTTTTTTTCTTTTTTCTTTTTTTTTGCTTAAAAAATCAGTTTGCTGCTTTATTTGTTAATTTTTGAGGCAGGGTCTCACTGCACTTGCTGGAGTGCAGTGGTGCAATCTCGGCTCACTGCAACCTCTGCCTCCCAGGTTCCAGCGATTCTTCCACCTCGGCCTCCTGAGCATCTGGGACTACAGGTGCACGACACGATATCCAGCTAATGTTTGTATTTTTAGTAGAGACGGGGTTTCGTCATGTTGGCCAGGTTGGTCTTGAACTCCTGGCCTTAAGTGATCTGCCAGCCTCAGCCTCCCAGAGTGCTGAGATTGCAGGCGTGAGCCGCTGAGCCCAGTCTAGTTTGCTGCTTTCTTGAACAAACATTACAGAACAATTTTCTCCCCAATATGATTTTTTTAAATTTAAAAACCAATTCATATGATATGATCTCAAATAGGTAGAAACCAGATATAAAGATTTTTGAATGATGTGAACTTACAAACATAAAAAATACAAATATATTGGCCAGGAGTGGTGGCTCACGGCTGTAAATCCCAGCTCTCTGGGAGGCCGAGGCAGGCGGATCATCTGAGGTCAGGAGTTCAAGACTATCCTGGCCAACATGGTGAAATCATGTCTCTACTAACAATACCAAAAAAAAAAAAAAAAAAAAAGGCTGGGTGTGGTGGCACACGCCTGTGATCCCAGCTCCTCAGGAGGCTGAGGCAGGAGAATCGCTTGAACCCAGGAGGCGGAGATTGCAGTGAGCCATGATCACGCCACTCTACTCCAGCCTGGGCAATATAGCAAGACTCAATCTCAAAAAAAAAAAAAAAAAAAAAAGAAAGAAAAAGAAATTAATAAAGCATACTCTATAAATAATGATAAAGAAACATAAAAGCACTTTTTCACATCCTTCAAAGATTAAAAAGAAGCAAACTTACTTTAAACAAGAAAAATAACAATACCAGTAAATGCAATTTTCCTTGAAAGTGCATAAGATAAAAACATATAGTATTAAGTGGCATTTGCAGCTGTAAGTTGAAGATGCTTCCATTTTGCATTTACTATACAATAAAATTCCTAAAAATT